TCCATGGGGCTGGCTCCTCACGCTGTGTCTCAGAGGCCTCGTGTCAGAGGCGCTGGCAGCCATTTGGTGTCTCCTGGGGTAGGTTTCCCCATAGAGAAACATTCATCACATGGCTCTACCACAGGGCTTCCAAGGTCCGCAGTCCTCAAGCCATGGTTTTGGAGGAGAGATGCCATATGGCGTTCCGGCTGCTTGTGAAACCTGTGGAAACACCACGTCCTTGAGACCTCTCCCTCCCTGCTAGATCTCTCTGATACATGAGTTTGAATGTTATGAGGGAAGGAGACAGACAGGCACAGAACACGGTTGCAAAAACCTCATGTTTCTGTAGAAAATCAAGCTAGCAACATATTTTTGCATTCTTTTCTTCCTTAGCATTTAGCATCTACCTGAGTCACAGCTTCACATTTCGCAACTTTTTTTTTTTTTTCTTCTATTTCTGGTTAGTTTGCTTGCTTGTTTTTGCAGTCGCCGAGTCTTTTCTTTTGAATTATCTCACGTCTCCAGAAGCTGGAGTTTTAAGATAAAGATCACGAAGTAATGACAGTCGGCAACACCATGCTAATGAAAAACAGCACGTATGTCTCTGAGGGTAACCGGTACTTCGAGATGTTTTGTCCCTGAGGAGCTCGCTTAGGGTGCGTGTCTGGCATGCCGGAGATGCAAGCACACGAGAAGTGGGACTCTCCCAGACAGAAGCTGGGAGAAGTGTGTGATAATGTTTAACTGCCCGTCCTTGAGCCTGGATGATTTCACTCCTGGAATGCCTGTCCGGCTGTGGTGCAGGGAAGAGGGCTGCTGTAATCCCCAAAAGTTTGGTCCTGTTCAGGTGGCTGCCTGTACCCGAGAGTGCCCGGCAGGAGAGAGGCATTCAGTGAATGCCTGCTGGCTCCTGAGAGTATCTCTGTACAAACGCAAGAGTTTTGCATTTGTGGTATCTGGGTACCCCTGATTTGACCGCCAAATTACAGAAAGCTACATGTGTACAGAAAACTCTCCTGTCAGACTCCTTCCAGTTAGCAGATAAGATCATTAAAAAGCCCTAGTCCAAGTGAGCTCAATCTCAATCACCTGGTGAGGAATGGCCACACCTGGATTCCCTCATCTCTGGTCTTCCATTCTTTTTCTGGCCCTCGTCTGTGCTAGTCTGTCTGTCTGAGCCCAGGGGCTGTCTGGCCCTGGCCCTGGCGCTGTTGCTGAAGAGCTGCTCGCTGGAGCCAGGAGGGCTGCAAATGAACCGCTTGTGTCCCAGTGAGCCAGCATTAAACTGTCTTGTAGAAGCAGACTCCTACAAGATGTTTCCTTCAAGAGGCTTTGCTCCTCTCTGGGCTCGTGATGCCAAGCTAGCTGCTGCCCACAGCAGTGGGTCGACTAGCAGATGTCTGCATCATCCCCTCTCTCCTTTCTCTCCACAGATCTAGTGAGCAGCTATTCTATGACCCCCCCTATTCTTAGCTTCACCGAGGAGGAACACATCATCAACGCCAAGGATACGCTGACCGTCACTTGCAGGTAAGGTGCAAGCATGCATGGCTCTGCCTAGACTGCTTTTACCTGGTAAGTGTTGGAGAACCAGGCAATGCAAGCCCACCAGGAACACCTTGGCTGCAGTACACCTGCAAATTAGCACAGCTGACTAGAAATCTTCCACACTCACCAAGTGTGAATTCATCTAATTAATTGAAAAAGAAGCTGAAGACGTCTCAGAGGAGATGGTGATAACCTCTGCTGTAGTCTTGCAGGCAGAAGGAAGCTAGAGAAACATTTGCGTGATCTGATAGCTTCTTTGTAAGCTCTTTAGGGAAACTGGCCTTCCTAACTCTCCTTGTCTTTCTCTGACGTTACTTATTCTCACCTCATCAGGGGCTGCTAGGGTTGTAGTTCTGGTTTCTAAATCTGGCAGGCCATTTTGGGGGATGTTGAGAAATATCCATGGGAGAAGGCAAGGCTGCACTTAGTGGTGGCTGTGAGAGGTTTCCAGCTTTTCTAGGAAGCTGGGATTTAGTCTCTGCCTTGTACACGTGGAGGTGAAGAAAAGCACCAGCCAGGCCAGGTGAGTAACTCTGTGAGAGGAGCTGGAGAATCTCTGGTTGCTTTGGAGACTGTGGCTCTGAGAAGGTGAGCTGCCTGAACTGATTTATCCCATGCTGGGACACTTGGCTGTACGTGTTTTCAGCACTACTCCCTATCTTGGAAAGAAAAAAAAAACAAGTGGGAGAATTGACCAAGGTCAGTTTTCCTGACAAAGCTGGAGTTTCCCTTCAGCAGCTGAAAGCAGATCCATGCTTGGGATGTGAGTGCTAGGGCCCAATGGGGGTATAAATTCAGTGTGGGCCTCAAATGGGTGTTTCTCAGTGTTATATATAACCACGGAGTAATTACTGCAAACACTTGGCTGGCATTGTGTTCATGTCTTGTCACAAACATATTTAACTTTTCCTGGAACAGATGGCGTTGCTTTTAATTTGTGAACCAGTTCAGAGCCAGGGGAGAGGGACATAGGAAAGGTTGTTGATGGCCATACCGAACTGATTTCACTTGGTCTGGGAAGCTAAATGGTTGTGGGGTTGTTCATACGGCGACCTGAGGAGCCATGGTGTGTGCTAGGTTGTAGAAATGCGTGAGTTGGAGGACTGTGGTCAGCTACATAGCTGCTGTCAGGGGCATAAAGGAAGAGGAGGGAGTCTGAGGACACCAGTGCTCTGCTGTGGGAGTTCTCTCCACGGAGGGATGTGGGAGCTGACACTCTCTGTTAAAACCTTGGAAGAGC